CATAATGGGATTACCAATGAGCATATTCCTTCGTTAATACATTGTTTCTTTTGCCGAATTCTGTATATGAAAAAAAAATAGAGGTAAAAAAAAAAAAGGTAGGCAGAGGGGAAAAAAGGGGAGGGGGGAAAAAAAAAAAGGAAAAAAAAAAAAAAGGGGGGGGGGGTAAATTCGATGGAAACCAAGTAACGTAACACATTCTTAGTTAACAATTAAGGATATGTATCATCAAAAGAAAATCCGTTAAACCTCTTTCTAATAGAAAACTTTCCATCATGCAGGTCCCTATAAATGCAAGCATCAGGTCTCGAGACGTTGCATTGATAAAAGTCAAATTTAAGAAAGGCTTTGTTTCGGTAAGTGAGTAAGTACACAGTGAAACTCGATACAACAGTCTCTCCGTTAAGCGCTAATTTGAGGGGAAAAAATTTACGAGCAAGAAGATTTTCACAGCATACGTGTGCCGGATAAGTCATGTAGTACTCCGCTATGTCAAGTAATTGGCAATTTCATTGGTTAGGTCAAATACAATTGTATATCGCTGACTTAAACTATACCATAAGCGATGATTGAAAAGTATGTTATTATACGAGGAAGAATCAAAGTAAAATTCTAGCGTGGCTTGCTTCCTCTTTTCAATATGTTTGTAGATAATAAACCTTTTAAGACCATGCAAATCCTTCGTAAATTCTGAGATTGTTTTGTACACGTATGTTATCACACTGTCGAGTCCTGCAATTGCATCATTGGTTTTATCTCCATTTCTCTATTCATTGAGATTCAGCCAAAATTCAGAACGTCTGAGTACGTCTGATACAGATTCCTCGCTTATTCCATATTTTCTTCGCCAATTGTACACCTGTCAAACTTGGATTATCATGTTCCATTTCTTTTCGTACGCCTAATAAAGTACTTTGCTTCGGAGACTTAGATATTTACATTCTTCGGTTGATATTAATTAACTAAATCGTACAATTTGATTGGCTAATAGCACTTTTTATTGGATAAATATGATAACCGTTTTATCTTTTATAGAACTGACATATAGGGTGTTCTCACCAGTTACCTCCCCTACCAGATTTAGAAATAGTCAACATACTAAATTTAGTAATAGAGGTAGGGGAGGTAGACGATTTTTAGGGGAGGTAATTTACCTCCCTGAGTGTTAGGGGAGGTACCATACTAGGAAATAAAATTTTTGTGTTTCGAGTTTAGCCATCTTGAGCTTAACGCATATGATGTTTCACATGAAAGTGCCTGCTAACATACTCATGCTCTTACTCATACCATGGAAAAAATAAACTGCTGTCCTCTTTCGCCTCTGCTTTTCCTTTCTCCCTCTACATTCGCTTCCCTTAAACATGAAGCGGCATCAACCATTCGAATTCATAATGCATGATCCATCTAATAAAACTAAGCGTAGAGTCACACAGTCCAATTCTTCAAACAGACATGGCGCAACTTCCCAAAACGGATCTTCCAAATTCGGAAATGAATAATTTTGGCTCCCAGATTATAAACAATATTAATGGTATGAGCAATTTATTACTATTATTTTAGCTTATGTATGTATTGATATTAATATATAGCCGACGGAGATAATGCAAACGACGTTGATGGTATGTGCAATTTACTACTAATATAGACTTATTATAGTCAACAGTACAATCGATGATGGTGGAAACCATAATGACATTCTACCAGAATTTAAACGATCAAAAAACTGGCAGTGATAATGAAGTCTTATTATAAAAGCCTTAATACAGCAAAGTCACCTGTGCAACAGGGAAAGGTTTGGCAATCCATATGTGATGAGTTTAACGCTATTTGTCCAGATACGTGTAGAAGTGATAGGGCTATTCGCAAGAGGTAATGATTTGAGTTGGCTACTAAATACAGTAAGTATACCCACTGTGCTAACTAAAATCGATTAATAGGTGGGATAAACTATTAGAGGATTATAAGAGAGTACAGGATAATAACCGTAAGACGGGGTGGAGCGTATGGAATTTGAGTATGAAGAAGAAATTCGTGACATAGTAATCGATGATCCAGTATTTAATGAAGTGTATGAGAATAGGAGAGATATGGTTGAGAGGCGAGTGCGACGAAGAGAGATGAGAAATGATGGCATCGAATTAATTAGAGAGTTCACGAAGAGAATCGTGAAGAGAATCGGGTCTATCGTAACAGGTTATTAACATTATTGGAAACGCTTGCTTCGGCGTTTAATAAAGAGAGGTAGTTGCTCATTATGTGCGGATCTGTGACGATTTCCCAAAGATCATCGCACTCAGTACAAATATTATGTAGAATACAACAAACATCGATAATATCTACTACATTTTTAAGATCCGTAACCTCCATATTATTTCTCAATATACGCCATCTCCCTTTGAGCAGATGAATGTACTCTATTATATTGTCTTTGGA